ATTTCATTTTTTCCTTCATTTTTTTTGTCTTTATCATTACTTAAATATTAAATTTATTAAATAATATATAATAATTATAAATAAAAATAGAAAGGAAAATATTTATATTTTTTTAATAAAAATTTTAAATAAAGAACTAGATTCTTCTTTTTTGAACCTGACACATGAATAATAAAAATTTTAAGGATTTCTTCATCAGTGATAACTAAATATAAAACTTTAGCTGCTATTTTATTAATATAATTAAGTATTTCAAAATTAACATCTGTTCATTTATCACTAATCTTATCATTGATGATTTGTAAAATGCTGCTAATAGTTTGTTGATTTTTAAGAATTTAAATTTTGATTCCTTGATTAGTTTTATAATCAGTTTTTAGTTAATTTTATAATTTAATATTTAATATTTTTACAATTAAAATAAAAGTAAAATTTAAGTATTATATTAAGTAAATTTGTATAATAATTATATATAATACCTTATGATTTATTTGTTTGTTTATTTGTGACTAATAATAAATATAAAGTATTAGATATTTAAGAAATAAAAAATTTTAATTATATGCATTATATGCATTATGCATAAAATTTACTGATTATATATTTATCACAAATGCAGTATTTAAAATATTTAGAAAAATTCATTATAATCAGCCACATTACTTCTTTCTATATATAATATTCTATAGAATTTACTTTGTTTAGATAATATTTTTATATCATAAATTTTTTATACTGAAGTAATCATTTAAACATTTATGACCTTTAAAATATATATAACGCTAACATATTTCACATTTATCATATACTATACAAGAATTTAATCATAGTTCATAATTAATAGAAGTGTTTTTATTAAGAGATTTTTCATAAACTATATTTTCAATATTTATTTAATTAAAATAATGAAAATAAATATGTAAAATTATATTTGTGAAAGAATTTTAGTATTTTATAAACAAGTATAATTACTATTTATATTATATTAAATAATAAATGAGTATTAACTCATATAAAAGAAATCAACTATTTAAATACTAAACATTGCAATTTTTAATTTTTAAAAAAAAATAAGGAAGGTACATAAATATGAAAATAACTGTAAAGTATTATAAAATATACATTTATCTATGATTTTTGCATCTGTTAAAGTATTATAAAATATACATTTTATCTGTAATTTTTGCATTTATTAAAGCATTATAAAATATACATTTAATTTGTAATTTTTGCATTTGTTAAAACATTATAAAATATACATTTTTTTCTTATTTTTGTATACATTTTTTTCTACTTTTTTATATTAAGTTTAAGGTTTTTACTTAAGGAAAAAACATATATATTATGCTGAAATTCCATAAAAATTATATATATAAAATTTAAATATTTTTATGGAATTTTTATATCAAATTTTTTATTGGGTAGTTACTTTTATCAGAAAGGTAAACTTAATAAAAATACAAAAAAGATCTTATATTATATCATCAAAATTGATCGATATACTGCATTAGAAAATTAGATTGATTTATCTGATTTGCAGAATTTACCTTATTTATTTGATTTATTTGATTGGCTTATTTTATTAAATTCTTTACAAATTTATTATTTTTATTATTTCTTTTATTTTTATCATTATTATTATTTATTTTATATTTTATAAATTTATTTTATTTTATTTTATAATTATTTATAGCCAAAATTTATTAAAATAGTTAATTTAGTACATAGTAACTAGTTAGCCATAACAAATTAATTTTATATAAATATAATAGCTTTTGCTTAAATTATAAATTAACTCATTTGTAAGTTACAAACTCTTTTGCTAGTTTTAAGTTATTAATAAAGGAATCAATTTAAATCTTTATAAAATTTACTTTTCTCTTTAATGTTATTTCTCATTTAGGATTTGTTGTGATATTATACACTAACTTGTTATGAGTTTATCATTATAAGTTCAATTAAATATATCTTAAATTCTAAAATGAAATAAATTGCTAAGTTGATTTAAGTATAACAAATACCTGTAGAATTAAAGAAAATCTTAAAATCAGAAATTTTAACATATAGAATCAACTGTTATAGCCTTTAACTTAGACATTAAGGTAATTAAAAATGAACTCAGTAACAAAATAGCAATAAAATTAACTTCTAATTTACCAATTATTTTTATCTAAAATTTCAATTGTTATAACACTTACTATGTACTAATGAGTCTAATTGATTATTTATTCTTAATAGTTAAATGACTTAGCAAAAATAATTACAAATTTTGCTAAATATTATAATATTACTTTATTATACATTTTATTAATTGACTTTTATATTAAATTGTAATTTTTATAATTTGAAAAAATTCTTTTTCTATTTAATATTTATAAGATTAATTTTATAATTTTATTTACATTATTGTCTAAAGTATAAGGATAATTAATTTCTACATCAAAGTAATGCAATGTCATTCTGTCTTATATATTAATTAACTAATAGAATTCTGTATAGCTAGTTATATGTGTTTTACAAAATTAATTATTAAAAAATTGGATTTTGATTATAAGTCCTATTATATTTCAGACTAGAATAGTTACCATTCTTTAATTTAAATAAAATTAAAGAAAAAATTTAATATTACAAGTTAAAAGTATAGTATAGTTAAGTAAATAATTTCAATATAATTTATGGCTGCTAAAATATTCATCATCTAAAAATTTAAATCAAAAAAGATGATCTTTTTTATTATATACAAATATATAAAATATATAGTAATATGCAAAAAAATAGTAATTTTAAAATCGTGATAGTTATACAACTATTATTCCAATTGAAATATATAATATATCATTTTAAAGCTAAGAAGTAGTAGATTTTATTTAAAAAAATTTATATAATATTTATTTACCATTTTTCTCAATAATCTTTCTGTTATATTATGATATCAAATCTATAATTACAAAGTTATTTGGTATTTTATTTTCACTTATCATTTATAAACTTTTTAATTTACTAAGGTTTTTTAGCCTATATAATCCCACATTCTTTTAAAATTTTTTAATGGTTTTCAATAAGTTTTAAACTTAGATTATTAAAAGAATAATCCATAATCTTTAAGATATTATTTTTGAAAAATTACTTAGTAAAACTAAATTACTTAATAAAATGACTAAAACACTATTTTGCTAAAGATTTATATATATTTTTACATTTAATTTACAATTTTTTTGAGATTTAGTAATAGTATTATGTAGAATTCTTATTAATTTGTATATTTTAGCAATACTGTATTTTTTTTGTTTACAGAAATTTAACTTATTCAAAATTAAGTTTTTTTTTGCTTTGATGAAATTATTTAAAACTTAATCAATCAACTAAATTTTTTATTAAAATATAGGAAAAGTTTCACTTTGATAATAATATCTATATTATAAGTTTTTATTTACATATTTATTTACATAATAATGATCTGCTATAGTTAAAATTGCCATTTTTTTTTGTATATTACTGTATATGGAAAAATTAGATTTAAGAAAAGTAAAAAAAGTTTAAAAATTTAACAAGTTATTTATTAACTTTGGAATACATTATATTTTCTTAGAAAAAAATAAATATTCTTAAAGATTGTATGTATGCCTTATAACTTGAAAATATGAAATTTGAATGTTATAAAATGATTTAATATAACTTTGAAGCTTTTTATAATATTAAATATTAAATCTTTATATTTTATAAGAGATTATTCAATTATTTAAAAAGAATTTTATTATTTAATTATTAATTAACTTTAATAAATCTGCGCATATTTGTAAGTTTCAAAGTCCTTGAATAATATGTGATGGAATAATTGAAGTTACACTCATTAAAATATATTTGAATCTTTAAATCATTTGATATCGTATTTTGTTCTAAATAAACGTGTTCCGATGGTCTTAAAAAGTATAGTTGTAAAATTTATATAATTTAGTTGAATATTTATTAAATGATAAAATTTATTAAAATGAATTAGATAAATTAGATATAAATTATTTGATAAAATGTGAAACAAATAATTTCCTTATAATATAACATCAATAAAATAATTTTATTGAAAAATAAAAATTTTTATAAACTCTTTTTTTATAATTTTGTTGATAATTTATTTATTTAAAAATTTATAAATGCCATAAAACGAGAATTTACAAAAGTAATATAAAGAATATCATAAAAATATCACAGAATTAATGATGTAGGATATTTCAATTATATTTATACATAAAATTTTCTATATATTTCAAAACTAGCTGAACAACTTTATTTATAACCAAACATGATGTTTAGTATATATACGAGTTTTTATAATTTTCGACGACTTTAAATAATAGAGCGTCAATTATTTAGAATATGCTTAAAAAGTTTCGAAACTTATTTAATAGGCACAATTTATTTCTGTCTTCTTTTTACTATAGTTTATAAAAATGTAGCAACGATCGCTAATATTTTGCGATTTATTATAATGATCGTTTGATTATTAAAGAGCTCCTTCCCTTAAATTTGAGAAAATTTGAGAAAATAATGATAATAAGTCATGATCTAAATTTGCAATATAATTTAATTATGCAAAGAACATAATATGCAATTAGAAGCATTAATTAAATTGCGTGATAGAAAAAGGTTAGTAAAGCCATTTGTTTATTAAAATTAAGCTAATAATCTTTGATTAACTTTATTTTAAAAATTATTATTTTCATTATTCTACAATTTTTATGCTTGGCGCAATGAACCATCAATCAATTGTTGTTTAGTTGAATGCTAAATAGTAAACAAACTAGAAATTTTAGATGAAATTTCAATTATATGTTCAGCACTTTGCTGTCGAATTCATCATATATTTGTCAAGATTCGATTGTTAGTTTTCAAACATAAAATGCAATTTATGAAAAAAATTTGGACAGTTCCCTTTTAAATATCAATAAATAATATATAATTTATTTATAAGTTATACAAATAAAAGCTTAAAAACATATTTTAATCTAACAAATATAATTATCACAAAAAAAGTCATAATGTTTTAATGTGCCATCTTTTTCATGTTGTTCAAGCATTTTCATACTGACATTAAAAGTTTCATCAGATTTAATGAAGATACTTAAATACATTGTAAGAGGAACTGGAGGAATTCGAGCATTCCAATCCACAATAAATTTATCTAGATCACTTGCCAGAAATACCCAATTACTAGCAATCCGAATTTCACACAGAATTTTCGGAGAAGATTTTAACAATATATCATATAATTTTTTAGTATCTTTAAGATTTGGTTTTTGGTATCTATCAATGATTATTTTTTGAAGTTTTTGACAATTTATTAATAAATTATCAAAATTATCAAAATCATTTGTATTGATTCCCAATGACAAAACTTTTATATTTGGACAATATCTGCAAACGGTTTGAATATAATGTCCAGAATATCTTTCATGATATGTTGTATCAAGAACAACCTCCGAAAGTTTCCCTTCAGTATTTTCAATTAATTGTATTACTAATTGAATATTAACCTTTCCCATTGTTAGAACTTCAAGTTGAGAAAATTTTTTAGAAGATAAGATATCCAATCGACGATCTGGATAATTGATGCGGTTGGTAAGTTCCAAAACCTTTAGATTTTTTGTATCTGCAAGAAGTTTCAAAGGCAAGAAAAATCTCAATTGATAAGAAACCTTCAGATGTGTAATTGTATTGACCTTTTTAATCAAAGCATTTCCGATTTCTACGAGGACTTGTTGATTCATAAATATTGCGTCGTTGTTATCAATCATACATTCAATTGACGTTAAATTGTGTTGAACATCAATCAAATTAGCTAATCCAGGGTTATCACTTTGACATTTTCTAATGTGTATACTTCGTAAGAGATGGCAATATGAAGCCAATATGTAAAACAAGGACGAATCATTTCTTGTTTCACAATATAAAACAGTAAGCTTTTTAAATGCATCATGGATATTTACGTGTAAATATATCTGAAAAAAATTGATCTCCTGCGCAAAATTAATATCCAAGGTTTTTATAATTGAGTAATTATTAAACAAAAGCTTATGAATTTCTCTCGAAATAATAATCTCAAAAGGTTTAATCAATTCGATCTGACTTGCTCTATCACTTTCTATGGAACGAAATGGAATCCTAAAGCAATGTTTATTCCATTTCAAATTTACATCATTCCAATCACGCACAAAGGTGTGAAAATTATTCAACAATTTCGTCCTAACACAGCTTAGAATCTTGTTATAATCCAATATTTTGCAATAACTGATGTAATTAAATAAGGGATTTGCATGCGGAGTTGGAAGTGAGACCATTCCTTTACTTTTTAGAAAGTTTCGGGATTGAATTGATAGAAATGAAATAACGACATCAAATAATTTTTCATCGTTGCCGAAGTTCCAAGGACATTTCCATAAGATTGGCATGGCAGTATTACACCAAAGCCTATTTACCAATACACATGAATGAAGTGATTTCCTGTTCAAATCAATTTCATCAATAAAAATGTTATCAGTGTCTAAAAATTCCTCAAAAATTTGATAAAGTATATCTTGATATAGGGTAGACATTTTTTTTTGTTTTAGGTTTAAGATGAGAAAGAAAAATTTGCAAATATTTACCATTTTTATACAAAAAAAAATTTGCGTGATGGATAGAAGCTTGAAATTGGTCACATTGTTACATACGCATGTTTATTATTTTCTTTTTTATTGTGCTTAAACAATAAAATATTTAATTATTTAATCAATTGCATGTTACATGTTTTGTTACATAATATACTTTATGAAACAATTGCATGTTACATGTTTGACTACATATTTCGTTACATAATTTACTGTATGAAATATATAATGATTTTGGAACAAAGAACCATCTTCATCTTATCAATTTTCTTTATCTTTACATCTCCGGTCTTTGTTTCCATTTTGGTATTTATGTTTAAATCTAATTTTTATATAAAGGTCATTCTGAATTTTATCGATTTTTCGCTTATTCTACTTCGGTTAATTGATTCAGGATTTATTAGGATTTATTGTAAAATGGTGACACATTACATCATTCATCAGCTTCCATTTATACTTAGATGCTTGGATATACAGTAATTACTAAGATTCTAAAGGTAAAGTGTTGACACAGCCTCATTTTCCTTCTAAGCAATTCCTTTCATTCGATATAAAAATGGTAAATGTGAAGGGTTACGCAACATTTTGGATGCACAGAAATTTGCAAATCATGCGTCGTTTCGATTCAATCATTTTTGCGGTAAATTTTTGATTTGTTAAATACCAGATGACGTGATGCGATTTTTATTTTAAAGGTATTATTACATCCTCAAAAAGGGTTTATTGACTTTGATGACACAACATTGGGTCTTGAAGAAACCCGGCCCATTTAACTTATAACGGCTAAAATAAAACTTGTTCAACAAACTTCAACCTGGTACAAACATTCTTATAATCCAAAAAAAGAAAATGTTTTTTTCTAAATGTTTTTTGTTCCGTGTGTGCTATGTAAATCTTGCGAATTTTGATGAATTGTGCTATGTAGATCTGTGAATTTTCTGCGGGATTTGATGAACACACGGATATGCCAAGATTAGGTTAGATTGGTGAATCATATCTAGGGAAATGACGGTCATATCTAGTTTCCGCAGTATCACACCAAATTTTCTACCACTTTATTTTCTCAGAGAATTAATAATTTTTGGCTAAATCTATACGCCGGACAAAAATCACAGGGAGATAAAATTCTATTTTGGATATTATGATAATTTGCTATGACTCTTGGCTCGATTTAATAGCAAATAACTTTTGAATCAATACTTATATATTTGCTCTCAATTATTGTATAAAATCAAATTACAAATTCAGATTCCTGTCAAATTCAAATCTTAATGATAAAAATTTATATACAAAATTCTATTTTATTAAAATCCAATACCTTTTTCACAAAAAAATTTTACTGATGAAAAGTTCTAAATTTAATAATATTTTTCTACCTAAAACTGCGCAATTACGAAAAATCGGGTAGGAAATAAAGTAAACGAAGTTACTTATTACAAAAACTTAAAATATTTTCTATTACCATAGTGTTTTGACTTTTGCCATTAGTTAAAATGAATTTTTTTCTCACAATTATTTTCTAGAAAAATCTCACCCCACCGTTTCAAGACAAAGAATTTAATTCGTGTAACAAATCAACTTTATCGAATATAAAATGAAGTATAGTCCTTCGTTAGTATAATCATAATCGGCCTTGATCGTTTGTGATTATACTTTTTTGATAAGAAGGGTCAAACAGTCTGACTATCGAACGTAAGATCAAACTGTTTGGATTGAGTATAAATTAAGTTCAAGGTTTTAATATAAAATACGTAGCACATTTTACCTTTTTTGGTTACATTTTCATATCATTGATGGCTTTCCTTTATGTAATTAAATTACAAGAACAACGAGTAATTCCGAATATTTTTCATTTGTTATTAGCTTTTTATTATTCCATATTGAATAGAATTTTTAATTACATTCGTGAAACAATTTAATTTCATCTGTTTATATTTTGAGAATTCGAAAGAACAAATTCTGGTTTGATAATCTTTTTTTTTTCTTTATCTTTTATTCCATTAAGACATAGCAATTTTTTTTTTATATTATTAATACAAGTTTATTTTGAAAGCGCTTGATTATATTTTGAGAATTCAAAAGAACAAATTCTAGATTTGTTCAATCTTTTTTTCCTTCGTTATCTTGCATAATATCAAATTTCTTTATTTAAATACAAGATTTGTTAGTTTAAAATCAGTGATACAAATTTTACTTTAATAATCGCATGATAAGGTCCGATTTGTAAGCCTATCGTTAATTTGTATGTATTGATTGTATCGGCGTTGAAGCCGTGGTAAATTGACACAGAACCATTTTACTTTGTAACTATCTCTTTTTAGTATTATGAAAATTTTAAATAGGTCACCATTCAGGTCTGTATTACATAATGCATACGAGTTTAGCTAAAAGGGATTTGTATGATTTATAGATTGCGCTTCGTTTTATCAATTTCACACACATCTTACATGTTTAGGATTTATTAACTGCATGATACTTTCATTATTAATTTTTGTGCAATACTTTTATTCTATTTGCTTGTAAGAATGTTTTGAATTTTGTTAAAAATTTTAATATAAATTTTTAATTGACAGATGATTTTTAATAAAAAGAGCACAATTTTATTAATCATTTTAACGATTTAACAATTTTCATGTTTGACAAAGTCTTGTGACATAGAAATAAAAGGGTTTTCTCTAATATAGAAATGTCCTATTACAGATTAACATGATTGAGATTATGAACAAATCATGATAAATTCTACTTTTAATTATCAACGTCATTTCTTGAAATTTAAAATACATTTGGACAAATGACAAGCGACAGCCATTTTGCCATAACCGTCATATATTAATATGTAATCTCATTGTAAACTATCATAATGATTATGCTATTTATAGTAAATTCGTTAAAGGATTACAAGTTAAAGATATTTCATTTGAATTTACGAATTGTTAAGTCCTAGATTCCTTATTAATATAATTTATTATTTGGTTTAATATAAATTTTCCTCATGATGATGAAGAATTAGAAAGAATACGAGGAAAAAGGTGTTGAAAAAGGAACTTTTATATTTCCAAACATAATCCTTGGATAGCTATTGATATTTATTTCGTCATAAAAGTATAATGTTACTTGGAGTAGAATTTTCATTTATGGAATTATTTTTCGACACCTTAACGAATGATTCAGATATTTCATCAGACGACCTATTCTAAGAACAATATTGCTTATATAGCAAACCTCAAATGATCTTTAGCCTGTTTGGCTAGAATTAATGTTGTCCAGAATTCCCCCTCTGCTAAAAATGTGATTGACATTAGATCAAATTAAGTTTGTCTCAGTCCATCGATTGGTATCACTACATTGTGATAGATGAAGTGATTAAAGAATTTAGTTAATCGCAAATAAATAAGAGTATATAACTTTATTGATTCATACTCGAGGTCAATTTATTCATTCGCTTATTATAAAGAAAAACACATATTAGAAAATTCTCTCTAGTAACCCTTTTTTCATTGTCGCCGCGTAAAATAATTAATTAATGGTTAACTATTTTTATTTAATTTTATTTTATTTTATTTTTGCGGAGAACTATATAAACTTAATATTTATTTTTGTTCTAAGAAGTGTGAGAAAACCTCCTTTACATGAATATTATAACTGAAAGACATTAATTATGTTTAATTAAGAAAAAAAATTAATGTGTTTGAAAAACGATTTATTTATTTTTTTTTTTAATTATGGTTAGAAGATTTTAACCTTTAAACTTTAATTTACAAAAAAATAAAGATTGTTTCGGAATGTTATATTTCATTTTCTCTTATTATAATCTGTTAATATATATTTATACAGTATATAATTAACAGAGTATTTATCCATCTCCGAATACCGGAATTTATTTACATGACATTTCTGAATGATATTTATCCCTGTAATGATTCATCTTATCAATATCAACTTAATATAAATCAACTATAATTTTAGTACAAAAACGTATAAAGTTTCATCGTAACATGTAGAAATGTTATCTCTAGTTAGCATTAATTCTCGAGAATATTCCCATAAACTTTAATTGTTCTTCGTATATTTCTTATTTGTCGCAAGTTCTTGATGCTTTATGAATCGATATAATGAGCTATTTTATCAGCCAATTAGTGTTATTAGTATCAAAAAATTTCTTAAATAAAATCTTGAATGAGGTCATTGGGATGTTTCCACGAATCACAATATTCTTGTTATCGTATATCGATTAGATCTTTGTATGATTAACCAATTCATTTAGATTATGAACAGCTGGACCGTATAATCTTAATCTAATTAGAAATAATTGCATAATTTTGAAGTCTCGAATAAACAAATCAAGAATCTAATTTATCACTCATTGCTTCCTACAAAAACAAAGATAATAAATAATGTAAAGATTTATAGTATTTATTTTTTATGAAATAAAACAAATTTTTTTCCATAGGAACGGCTTTAAACTTTTAGTTCTTCACATTCATCGATATATTTTAGAATAACCAAATGAAGACTTGTTTGCATAAATTCAGTTTGTAAGGATATTTATATTTATTCGTATCAGCAAGACACTTTCACAAAAGTTAAAAATAATATCAGATCAACATATATTATTCAAAAGAAATTTTTAAAAAATTTGAGTCACAAAAGTGATTCATAACATTCTAAACCGAAGTATTGATTATTATGATGAATTATTATAACTTGCTTCAATCTTCGATAGAATTTAATTTTTTTGAAAATATTACCAAACGATATTTGCAAAATCAATATTTTAAAAAGTAATCCCGGTTAATTATATCCACAAAATTTATTATATCCAGCATTTGTCTTGAAAAATTTTGTATAACTTTCCCTTTAATAAATTTTCCATATTAACATGCTAATATTTTATTAAATCAATCATCACAAGGCAATCTAAAAGCTATCCAATTAAGAACAATTAATTAAATAAAATCTTCGAAAATTAAAGGAATGTTAATTAGTATTGCGCGTAAAAATAGGTATTGGTCCTAAAAATCACTGAAAGAATATCTGACCCACTCTATCTTTGGAACCGGCCTAAAATATTCGTTGACCGGTAAATTGACCGGTTAAAATTAACTTAGGCCAGTACTATAAATTTGGCCGGAGTTAGAATCATAAAATTTTAATTCTGGCCGGAAAAGAATTTCGGCCGGAGTTAAGTTCACCTATTTTAAACGGTTAAAAAAAACCCCTTTAACCGGATAATATATTTAACCGTATTAACCGGTCCCAATCTTTTCAATGAAATAAAATGAATATCTTTATATTTTAGTAATATCTGTTATAAACTTTATTCTTCTTTACATTCATCAGTTTTAAAGTTACAAATATGTGAAGAGCTATATGTATTATTCATTGTTTGATTTTATTTTATTAAAATAATAAATACTGCGGGATTTTACCAGTTAATGAATTTCATAGGGTGCGCACAAACCATGCGTGGTAAAGATCACGAACTAGTAGAATATGGTGAACCCGTTGTGGTTATTGTTGTTAAATTAATTTATTTTACAAAAACTAATTTTTTTTTTATTTATTTATATAAAAAGTGTTCGCTCAAAAACCAAGTAATTTTGTAAATGATCGGCAGATGCGATAAAAATAATTTCGACCTAGCTAAAATTTGTGATATTTTATTTTTATTTTTATTTTTTATTTACTTAAATACTTAACAATCGTCTATATTAATATAATTTACCCAAGCATTTTTAGCTTGTCCACAAAAGTTTCAAAACAAATGTGATAAAATTAAATATAATATTAATAATACAAATGATCGGCAAGGTGATATAAGCGAATGACCGTCCAAATCATATATGTCGTATCGTCAAGACTTTTACGAAGAGAGACGGCAAATAAATGATCTAAAAATTTTATAGGGAGATTCTATAAATGATGTGATTTTTTTATTATGTTACAATAAACCATTTTAGAAAATGATTTGCTTTAATATTAATTACTTTATTTTATAACGCTAATAAATTATAATAAAACCGGAGGTTCGGATATAATAATAAAAACAGTTTTTTTTTTGTATTGACAAATTTAGTATCTGGTTTTAAGAACGGGGAAAACTGGATTTAAATCCGAAGAACTAAAACCGGTTCCACTTCTAACTCAGGGGAAATCTGGAAATCAATTTAAGGATTATCTTTTTTTTTGTTACGGATCGACATTTCTTCCACTTTTAGCGAAGAATCGAAATCAAAAAAAAAAAACGCCATTTTTTAAAAAATATTTGTTTATATTACCTCCTCCTTTTTTTTATTTCACATATTCTTTTTTGTATCATGCAGATTTCATGTTGATACTGTCTTGCTTAATACTTTATTAATGTTAGCAGCAAAGATTCAATTAAATTTCAGAAATTAGAACATAAAAATTTCTTCTTTAATATTACAAAAGATTACATTATGTAGATGCTGAGGGAATTATTCAAAGGATTCTCCAACCAAGGTCCGAATATATGAACTTAAAAATGTATTGATCGACATCATGACACATTACAACTGTTTCATATCAACGGAGGGTTTTAACACATGGGTCTGTTAAAAAAAATATTCTGCTTGAATTACATATATTTTTAAAATAGAAGGGAAAGTTATAGTAGGCGCGACATTTAAATTAATTAAACTCTCATAGTTACAATACAAACAAATGAATCAATTTAAAATACAACAGTATATTTATCAAATTCATTAAATACACGTCCGATTTTTTTTGATCTACTTATACCCTTCCTTAAAATTTTTTTCTTTACGAAAATTTGTTTCTACTATCGCTCTATTATTCACGTTGCATCTAACTGGTTCTCTTTGAAAATTTATTCATTTACTTCCAATATTTACCAATTATATTATGTTATTCACGAAAGCATTATCTTTTTCTTTAACGATATGTATATTAAAACTTCCCTTTGTAATGACAAGTACCAATGTATCAACCAAAGATCAAACAAATAATGAATCTATATCACTTCAGCATAATGGAGCATTTGAAAACTGTAATTTTTCTGTCGTTATTACAGGTTTAATTTTCGGGCATATCGATTTAATAGTTTGTTCTCTTGTGGTATGTTATCAAACATCATGTTAATTCGCCGTAACATAATGTAACGTTGCATGTACTTACTTTTCTAGATTTTCTCTGCATATACGAAATGGCGCACGAGTTCTTTATCAATGTCAAGCCGAGTTCCTTTATATCTCAGTATTTCAGATATATTCCAATGTAATTAAAATTATAAATCTATATTCATATCGTTATTATCATTCAATTAATTTCTCATTTCTTTATTAGATTTAGTGTTTATGCCAAACTTTTTTTATTCGTTAATATATCATGAGATATTTCCTGAAACCACTTGTAAAATATTCGCCTACCTCTTCTTCCTCCAAATAAATATCAATATGATTTTAATTTCCGGCATTGCAATTGTTACTTATCTGGTAAGAAATTTTGGTGAAGATTAATTTATTATTTTTTTTTTGAATGCACAAAATTATATATTAACTCGCCTCGCGATATTTAGAGCGTCGTTAAAAGCCAAAGTTATGAATTTGGACCGCTGGACTGGTATGCTTTATTATTTAAAATAACATGATGGTTTAATGTATATATCTATAAATCTATATATTTAAATATTTTATCTCAATAGGAAATTTATTACCTGTATTTTGGTAATTTCGTTGTTACTTTCGACCCTATCTATCCCATCGTTAGGCTCAACGAAATTTTGGTGCTTAACGTCAACAACCACGCATAATACGATAAATATATCGTTAATTGGTGTAATCGTTATTTTCGCAGTAACTTTCATGATAACATGTTACTGCTATTATAAAACCTTATCAATGATATTTAATGTAGATAGGGAAACGACAGCTTCTGTTGATAGAATCAACAGAAGAAACAAATTGGAAAGGCAGGCTACATTAAAAATTCTGATCTATATATCAGTATTTTTAAAATGGATACCTTTAACGCTATATGGAATATGCATTATGTCCGGTATTGAAGAAGCCTTATGGATGCATATCTCTGCCCTTGTTGGTACGTATTCTCAAATGTAAATCAATCGGGTTATGACGAATAATTTTATCTAAATTGATTCAAAATTTTCACATAAACATAGCGTTTCATTTGGGTGGATTATATAATTGCACATTATATATAATGAATGAAGGATTCCGTCGTTCCAATAAGAATACAACAAATGCGGTGGAAGTTCAGCCTAAAAAACCTTAGTATAGGTAGAATCAGCATATTATCTCAAATCAACTCCTAATTCATTTTTTTTTTCTTATTGTTATAACAAGATTTATATTGTATAGTAAGATTTGTTCATTGTAGATCTAATGTCATCATTTAGATCTTTTTTTTTTCCTACATATGTGCTCTTGATTAACAAGAGAAACTTTGCATGAATATGAATACTTTAAAAATTAAATTATCAGTTAATTTTGTATGCACCTGATTTTTAGGTGTTGTAAACGTTCCTTTTTATTAATGATAAATTCTCTTCAACTTACATAATAAAACTTAAATTACACGACAATAACATTTCAAATATTTTCAAATGGTAAATAATATTCATCATAAAACGAACCAACTGGTTAAAGTTTGTATTATTTAAAAAAAAATAATAATAATGTAACGAAGTCACTTTATTACTTAACTAATAATATCATAGACTTTTCTTTGCGACATCACCAGAAACCGTTATACATGAAACGATTCATTCTAGTTCTTGGAATGCCCGGAAATTTTACTGGTTAAATATACTCATTAGCTGGTTAAAACCGTTAATTTATCGGATGATTTATTTTTTTTTTTGTTTTTCTTTTTTTTTTTTTTTTTTTTTTTTAAAAAAAAAAAAAAATAAAATAAAATAAAAATCAGGGGCATATTTAGTGTAACATTTCATTTAATAATCATGATCATTGTGATCAACATGTGTTTCGAAATTTTTTTTTTTTAGAATAATGAATATAGTATTTACAGTTTTTAATATAGTTTTAATATATATTAGAAATGGAAGGATACCAGTTGGCTTTATTATTATTATTATTTATTTATTTATTTATTTATTTTTAACCCCGTTCAATGAGAGATATGCAGAATGATCAATAATGATTTTATTTTTATGGAACGCAATAAACTTTTTGAACGATAAGAGATTACAAAGAAAATATGCAAGGTTGAATTGATAAGAAAAAAAAATCATTTATCGAATTCTTTTAAAGAATGTTCCTCCTTAAGCCTTTCAAGACATACTAAAAGCGGTCGATCCCGACAATTAAATCAACTAAACCGTAAAAAGAAATCATTTACTCAATATATCTATACCAAATGGAATTAATACGTCAACTCTAACCATCTAACTGAAATAGGAACTAACAATTGAATAAGTTCTGAAACGTAATCCTTTTTTTTCAAACACGTAATCGGTCGGTCACCCCATCTCTAGCCAATCCAAAATTTTCCGACATATAAAGGCGCAGCATTATTTTTGTTTGTAACATGGGGGTAGTCATCTTTTTTTTTTTAGTTTAGTATAAACCATCGGTTCAAACCGTGGAATAAATAAAACTGCAAACCTGATTTTTATTATAAAAGCAGGATTCCTTATCAAAGAATTTAACAGGAATTCCCGTCGACATTTTTTTTTTAATAAATTTTAATTTAGGGTTAATTTGGTTCATAAATGGTGAGGGTCAATCAAATGACGCTCTGACCCGAATCAACATTTTCAGTTGACCGAATTTAAATAAATAATAATATAAAATAATAATATAAATAAAAAAAAAAAAAAAAATTCAAGTTTACTTACCGTTCAATATTAAAAGTTCTTTAGAAAATATTTAAAAATATAATTATTTTATAATAAAAGAGAGAAAACTACTAAAAAAAATTTTTTTTTTTACTTTATAAACTAAATATTATTTTTTTAATAAAATAAATCTATATTTAATATTAATTTAAAAAAATTATTTAATATTTTTTTCCCTTTTTATTACAAAGTGTTTATATATTAAATTATTTAAAAATTGTAAAAAAAAAAAAAAAAAAAAAAATTCAAGTTTACTTATCGTTCAACATTCTTAACCTCGTGAAAATTTAAAATCAAAATATTTTTTAAATTTGCGTTAACCTACAAGGGATATATAGAAATACCGGTGTCAAGAACGTTCAAATGGCGCAGTAACTGCGGAGAGATTTACCTTCACGAAATGGCCGGCATCACGGCATTTGACTGGAATTAATTCTGGCGCATAAGAGTGACGTATCTTAATGACAAATAGATTTTTAACTACCGTATTTATTTTCATTTATTACAAAAATTAAATTAGTATTCCAACAGAAATTATTTATTTAAACTTTGATTTATAGTGAATAACAATATATTTATTATTTATCTTTGTCCTGTCTTCTATGAGCGATGCCTTTTTTAAGGATAATTTCAACTCACCACGAATATCAAAAATTGAAATACTATTAATAAATTCTACGTAATTAAATAATGGAAGTGGTTGATTCCATACTCATACAAAAATTTCTTTTGGACTAGCAATTTAACAGCTAGGTCGCCTAAAATAAAAAAATAAAATCATTCAAATGAAGTCATACAAATTAATGATATTGAAACAAGACAAAAATGGACTTGGCATTCATCAGATCAAATTACACCTTTCTTATCTTGGTGTAATCAATTATTTTAAAATATTTCGAAATTATACTTGTATCATTTCAAAAGGAGTGACGGATTTGATTTTCGTATAACGAGATTTGAAGTGTTTCGCAATAAGTTTAATAGAACTACACATTTGATGAAAATAATCTGAAATAAAATTACTATGCAATCTTGAAGCAGACAGATCAACCGAATAATTATCATTATTATTTCATAAATTTGTAAGAACTTTCGTTGGAACCTAAATATTATTTTCTGAAGTTTTTAACAGAATTACCTTTTCACAATATAAAATTCTAAGAGTTTTAAGAAACGAAGGATTAAATATTGAATTTCATTATAATTCATTAAATTTGGCTATTGAAAAATTTGTCCAAATCTGAAATCATAAAAATCTTTTGAGCTGTTAGAAGGAATTCAACTTTTTAATGGGTATGCTTATTTGAAAGGATATGATAAATTTAAAATTGTCGCAAAATATTCCCATACTAATTTTCATAGGTATGTTAATATTGCATGAAATATCAGTCGTATCTCCAAACAAACTAGAGTCCTTTTTAACAAGTTGGATAGATCTTATGCCACAACGAACAATTATTTAATCATCATGTTGAAAGAAATTTGAGCGTTACGTAAATGTTTTAATTAGAAATTATTCGAGATGATGATATTTCATTATATATTAAATCTAATTAACTTATTTTCATCAATGGATGATGGTATTGAATCCTTAACAAATAATTCTTCAATTTTCTTCGTCGTTGATAAATATTTATTTTTAAGAAATAATTTATCTGTAAACAAATAATTCAAAAGTCTAAAAATTTCAGGCTCTATTTGTTGTAATAAAGATAAGATATTTTTATTCGTCGGCGATTCTTTTGGAGGACGTTTTTCTGAATTGGAATTAGGAATTAAAATATTAATCATGAAATTTGTAAGAATTAATAATTTGTTAATTTGAAAATTTTTTTTTAAGATTTCATTTATTACAGACTTATTTTTTGGAGAAACCGTTTCAATTAGAATATTGATATTAAAAAAAAAGTGTTTATTAAATTCAAGTATCATATTTCGCTTGATAATAACTAAGTTCCTAATTTATATAAATTCTAAATTTTTCAAGACATTCATCAAAATAATATTTGTTCAAAAGCATCTTGAATTTGATTTGAAAATTAAACCATCCATGTAATTTTAAAATTTTTGTTAAATTTACCACCGAATTTCTTTAAATCTGTTTATATTCTGTATAAAAATTTATAGTTAGTCTCTTCTAATTGAACAATATAAACAATACAATTTTTATTTTTATTCCATTTTTATACACATGAATCATGTTTCTTGTTTTACGTCATGTAATAATAATTATAGAGTATGATAATCATTAGAACTAAAAGCATTTCGATTTTCGAGCTTTCAAATGATTTATACCATCGTTATAAAATAATGGCAAATCACTTATTATTATATTACAAGAAATATAGATTTAAATTCTCATTCACTTTTTAATTCCATTATAGATTTAACAGTTCGTATGATAATTGGTTTTCACAAAGTTTGCATCGATTTCTATATTTCAAATAATTATTCTAATCATAAATTAGTAAATCATGAATCTATATATAATACATTATTGAGGGGTAGATCATTGCAAGAAACCATTAAGTTTTAACCAATCCTCAATGTCTTTTGAGTCACGCTTCAATCAAACCGTACTAACACGAATCTTTTCTTCACGCTGATTAAAACCAAGTCCGTACAAAGCGTCTAATTTTTGATCTGTTGTTTTGGATTCACGATAATCTTTCTATATGGCTTCATATTCTTCGTCCCGCCACCGCGGTATAAAACAATTTTAAATACAATACCACGAATTTAGGATAAATAAACTACTAAACAAAAGTTTGATTACTAACGTACTCGGATCATTAGCTCCACCTGCAATATTATGAGTAAGTGTCCTTAACGATGTAGTCAAATAATCATCATTATTAGAATATTCCTAACCTAATTTGAGAATTAATCAAGATGTTGAAAGCTAGAAGTCTTGATAAATTAGTGTCGGTTGTTCAAACCAAACATTAAGTACATTTCCAAGACGAGAATCAATCTCACTCCATATATTTTTTATAAAAGGTAATAAAAATTTAGTCCATTAAAGAATAATTATAATAATTGTTAGCTTACATATATTTATCCTCTTCTTCAAATTCTTTAATTAAGCTCAACAAATTACTAGTTTCCCTAAAACGACTAGTTGTTAAAGCTCCAACGTAAGCAATTGCTCCAATACGATCACTAACTTCAAGAAAACCTACCCTAAATGCTTGTCCTAATTTATATAACCTTTGGGGATAAATACACTGGAAAACGCCAATTTCATGCGTATTAAGCTGATAAAAATCGGACTTTCTAGGTGGTAATCTGAATGTAATCTCCTTTTGAGTGAGAACAGATGACTTAATATCACATTATGTGTCGGGACCAAAGTCAACGCCAAGAGGCACCCACCAAATTGCAGTGTCCACATCATTATTAATAACTCCTTATG